ATGTGAGTTCTCACCCCACTCTGTGGCTTCTATGCAGTAAGCATAAGAGATTGTGGGCCAACAGAATTTGTAGCAAGGTAAACATAAACCCTCCATTTCAGCCTGTGTTTCAGCTTGTCTGTTCCAGTCTTGCCCCAGTCTTAACATTTTGAAATTTATAATTATAGTTGATTTTGATTTTATGAGAAGTCACATATATTAATTTCTGTTGGGTTTGTCAGTGAAAGCCTTCTCAAAACAACTATGGAGTAAAGACAGGTAAATAAATGCATGGTGCTCCCACGTGTCAGGGCTCACTGCATCTTACAAATGTATCAGCCCCACTCCAACACATGGCGCGTCTCAAATGGTGCTGGAAACCTGGATATCCACATACAAAAGAATGATGCTGGACAAAATTCATACCCTTCCATTATACTCTTTTCAAAAATTAAGTCAGAATAACTCAAAGAACTAACCTTAAGAGTTGAACCTGTAAACCCCTTAAGAAAGTCTCGGCTCAGTGGCTCATGCCTGTAATCCCAGCATTTTGTGGGGCTGGGGCGGGCTGATCACCAGAGGTCAGGAGTTTGATACCATCCTGGCCAACATGGTGAAACCTTGTCTCTACTAAAAAGACAAAAAAAAAAAAAAATAGCCGGGCTTGGTGGCAGGCACCTATAATCCCAGCTACTCAGGAGGCTGGGGCAAGAGAAGTGATAGAACCTGGGAGGTGGAGATTGCAGAGAGCCATGATTATGCCAGCCTGGGTGACAAGTGTGAGACTCCGTAAAAAAACAAAAACAAACAAACAAACTGTAAGAAAATACTGAGGCAAATCTAATTGATAGTGGTTTCTTGGCAGGTGACGAAAAGCACAAGTAATATAAGAAAAATGACAAATTAGACTGCATCAAAATTTAAAAACTTTTTTGCATCAAAGAACACTATTAACAGAGTAAAAAGAAAATGCACAGAACAGGAGGAAGTATTTGCCAATCACATATCTGATCAAGAATTAATATCCAGAATAGGTAAAGAAACACAATTCAACAATAGCAGAACAATCTCATTCAAAAATGGGTAAAAGACATAAATAGACAATTCTCCAAAGAAGATATAAAATAAGGGCATAAAAATAAGGAATTCCAATAAGAACATATGCTAAACTTCTCTAGGCCAAGTGTTGGTGAAGATATGGAGAAACTGGAACACTTGTGCACTGCTGGTGAGAGTGAACAGTGGTGCAGCCACCATGGAAACGGTATAGTGGTCCCTCAGGAAAGTCAAAATAGAATTACTATCTGAGCCAACAACTCCACTTTGGGGCATATACCCAAAAGAACTGAAAGCAGGAACTCACACAGACATTTGTACCCTCAGGCCCATAGCAGCACTATTCCCTCAGCATGTGGATCATCAGCAGATGACTGGGTAAATAACCCATGACGTACATGCATATAGAATATTATTCAGTCTTAAAAGGGAATAAAATTCTGATTGGATGCACTTTAAAACCACTATAAGAGAAGTAAGCCAGAAATGAGAAATAAATATAATATTTTACTTATATGAGGTAGCTAAAATTCATGAAAACAGGTAAGCAAGTTCATAAAAAATTCATAAAATTCATTAAAAAATTCATAAAAACAGGTAAGCAAATTCATAGAAACAGAAAGTAGAATAGAAGTTACCAGGGGTTGGGGTAGGGAGGTTGGGCAGTTATGGTTCAATGGGCACAGTTTCTGTTTGGGATGATGAAAATGTTCCGGAAATGGATGTTGGTGGTGCTTACACAACACTGTAAATGTGCTTAATGACAGGAAATTGTACACTGAAAAAATGGTTAGAAGGTAAATTACATGGTATGTATGGTTTACCACAATTAAAAAATATATATCAACATTAAATCCAATCACAACTGCCATCGAGATTTTATTATACTGGTGTTTCAACAAGCACATTGCCGTTGTGGAGGGAGGTCCTTGGAGTTCTTATGCCACCATGTCCTTTGGTGTCACTTCTCAGCCACTTTTAAATTGTGTTTATGCATCACAATTCCTGATCTACCAAGTACTTTCAGAAAAATTATTCACATGGCAAAAATTCGAGTAACTTATTCTTGGTGCTATACTCTATGGAGTTGATCTCAGAGAAAAGAATCAAACCACATTGGACCTCATAGATGGCAAGGGTAAGAGGCTGGAAGATGAGTAAGGAAATTATAACACAACCTGTCAAAGTATTTTATGTGACTTTTTTCTTTGAATGCTACATGATTAATATTTTATAATGACTATACTGACTTACATGTACCAATGATTACAAATTAAAATTTCTGCTTTCCTTCTCATTTCTTTCTTATATATTTCTCTGTCTGTGTAATTACTTTTAGAGTGGACATTTTGGATAGTTCAGCAGTTTCATTTATACAATGATGTTTTGTTTTCATCTTATTCATGAAAGATGGATTTGCCAGCCACAGATTTCTAGTTTGACATGTTTACTTTCAGCTCTTTAATGATTATGTCTCTCCTGGCTGCTGTGGCTAACAGGGAAAAAACAGTTACATCTTAACCCAGCCGCTTCTTAGATGACCCGTGTTTCTTCTGTGGCTACTTTTTTTTTTTAATGAACAAGTGTAACTTTTTATTAAGATAGAACTGTTTTTATTAAAGAAATATATGAAAACGGTTAAGTAAAATCAAATGGCACCAAAAGTATTCCGATGAAAACAGCAGTCCTGCCAGTTGTTCTTTCCAGAGGCAAGCACTTTCCCTTCTCTTAGTTTTTCCTTCGGGTAGATACTTTCATGAGTTTTTCCACATTATTATTCTTTGTTTTTCAAGTCAATGCATATATATTAACACGTGTAATGTCAAAAAGCTTCTTCAGTTTATAATGCATCTTAACAATCCCCTGCCCCATCCTTCCTAATTCTCCAGAGCAATGACTTTTAACTCTTTTAACAATGTCTTCTATTATTTCTCACATAACTGCTTAATCATTTCTTGATTATTTTATACATTATATAGGAATTTCTTGATACAAAAGATGTGGATTTAGCTCTTACACCATCACTATCCTCATTTTTCCTCCCATATTGTCCCAAAGTAGTTACCAGATTTTGGGGCTAAGCAGTCATTCTGACTATGCATATACTGTTCATTGTTGAGAAAAACAGTGTATTATGCTCTTACTGTCTATCCTGTACTTCTTTCTGCCCTAGAATTAAGGACTGCCTAACCAAGCCTTCCCCCTTGTTTTTATTTTTTACTTTTGCTTTTTCTTCAATAAACTTCTTTCCAAATATCCCAAACCTGTCAATAACCTATTATTATTTTTAAGAGAAGGGATCTCACTATGGTGGCCAGGCTGATCTGGAACTGTTGGGCTCAATCCATCCTGAGTAGTTGGGACAACAGGCCTGGACCATTCCACCCAGCTAATCTATTAATATTTTTACTGTTTCCTTTTAAAGCCAGCTCCATAGCTGGAATATTGGTTGTGCGGGATCCTGTTTGCTGGATCCAAGTCATTCTCTGGTTTGTGTACTCCTTCATTTCGCTGGAGTATTTTCTCTAATAGCTTCCCAAGAAAGGGTACATGGAGGTAACCCCTGAGTCTTTGCTTGTCTAAAGATGTATTATTTTACCTTCATCCTTGATTATTTGGCTGAATGTAGATTTATCGGTTGAAAATAATGTTCTTTCTAGAATTCTGAAGACATGGTTCCATTGTTTTCAGATTCTTTTTTGAGACAGGGTCTCTTCTGTTACCCAGGCTGGAGTGCAGTGACACAATCATGACTCACTGTGGCCTTGAACTGCAGGCTCAGTTGATACTTCCATCTCAGCCCTCTGAGTAGATGGGACTACAAGTGTGCACCACAATGCCCAGATAATTTTTTTATTTTTTTGTAGAGATGGGGCCTCACCATGTTGCCCAAACTGGTCTCAAGTGATTCTCCTGCCTCAGCCTCCCAAAGTGCAGGAATCACAGGTGCGAGCCACTGTGCCCGGCCAGTTTTCCTTCTACTCTCTCTACTTCCTTCATTTCTCAAAAGCATCTCAAACTCAGTGGGCACAAAAGCAAAGTCAAACTCCATCAGAATATCCTGCTACTTCCCACATTAAAGTGTATCGTAAATCACAATTACTACAATGCAACCCTTTGGTTCACACCACCATCATCCATCACTTGAACTTAGAATTGGTTTTCCTCCTTCTGTATTTTTTTAAATTATAAAATATTTCAAATAAACCATGTGTTGCTTTACGCTTTTTACTACATAAAAAGAATGAATATCTGCTGGGTGCAGTGGCTCATGCCTGTAATCCCAGTACCTTGGGAGTCTGAGGGGGTTAGGTCACTTGAGGTCAAAAGTTCAAGACCAGACTGACCAACATTGTGAAACCCTGTCCCCACCAAAAACACAAAATTAGCCAGGCATGGTGGCGCATGCCTGTAGGCCCAGCCACTTGGGAGTCCGAGGCAGGACAATTGCTTGAACCAGGAAAGGCAGAGGTTTCAGAGAGCCGAAGTCACACCATTGCACTCTACCTGGGCAAAAAGAGCAAAACTCTGTCTAAAAAAGAAAAACAAAAGTATGGAGAGCTTCCGTACTTAAACATGGAATTGCTTTAAGTGTTTGGCATTCACTGTTCCCGTACATGCCAGCAGCTTCTTACTGCAAACACCTGGGACTTGCTATGGAGAAGCTGAAGTGCGTTCTGCCCACACACAGGACAGGGAGCTGACAACCAAGGAGTCGGGGATCAGTACTCCAGCTTTCTCCCCTCCGTGTCCCTGTATCTCAGCAGTGTGGAGCTTGTTACCAATGAGAACCCGCTCACTGACTTTAAGCTGGTTTTCTTACCTTCTCAGTTCCATTTTTCCATAGCTCAACTGGTGATTTCTGGTATGACCTAGCAAATAAACTGCTTTCCCTGAAATGTCAGTCTTGGAGCCTTCTTTGGGCTCTCCAATCAAAGACAGAAATGTATTCATTTTCCCATCCCTGGACTTCCAGGTTGTTTTCAGTTTTTGCTGCTTACAATCAAGGCTGCAACATGTCTCCACAAACCTCTGGATACCCACGAAGGAAGCTTTCAGTATTTCCCAAGAGCAAAACTGCTCAGTTGAAAGGCATGTGCATCTTCTTCTTTAATTAATACTACCAACATTTGAAAAGCCCAACAATGTCAAGGCCTGCCATGAGTGCCACATGTGATGGGTATGGAATGGCAGCTCACTGGAGCAGATGCTGGGGACTCAGTCGGGGTCTTGGAAGGCACTTGGTTTTAGCAAGAATGTTTCATAAATGCTATCTGATAGAGTCAAGGTTCATGGGGAATAAAAATACATTGCTTAGAAATATGCATAGATCTAAAGCCAACAAAAGTCTTTTTTTTTCTAATGGAAAATACACACTTTTTTTCTGGGACAGGGGGAAAAACTTAAAATACACCAGAAACACCTTCATATTAATCATTCTCATATACTTCAAATTTGTACTTCATGCCTTTCTCCTCCTGGACATCAGAGAGAACACCCGGGTATTCTGGCAGAGTTTGTATTTCTCCAAATACAAACAGGACTTTCAAAGTCCTGCATAATCCTTGTCCCATATACTTTAAGATGGCCTGGGTGATTCATGGCTTCCTGACAAACAGAACTGTCACCAACTATCCAAATCACATCTACTTCATTTGCTGATTCTGGTTGTTTAGTAAATTTTAAGGCATCAGCCAGACTTCTGGCAAGAAAATGAGCCCCTTGTGGAGGTTCCTTGAGTTCTCTCCTGAGAACTAAATTAATTCTAGATTTTAAAGGTCGATTCTTCTCGGGAATGGAGAAGCAGGTCTTCTTCCTCCCCATAATCACCAGATTCTGTTGACCTTTTACTGAAGAGGTTGTGGCCATCCTCTGGAAATACCTGAATTCATTCCCGAGCAGTGGCCAGGGCAGGTCCCTGATCTTACCAATGCCCCATGTTCTGGGACACAGCGACGATGCAGCTTAACAAACAAACCATGACAGCAGCGGTGAGCACCTCCGAGCCCACTTGCTGTGGCTACTTTTAAGATCGTCGTTTCTCTTTAACATCTGAAGTTCCGGTGCTGTATGAGCCACTGAGCCTAGCCTGCGGTCTTTTAGTTCACTAAGTGGCTTAATAAGACAAAGTTGGTTTGAGCCAATACTTCTGGCATGTTTGTTTTCATTTGTAATAGAAGCTTTCTCTGAATCCATCCTCAGGAGGTGAATTGGAAAACTGCAATCATAGCCAAAGCTAGAAAATACTGGAAGTAGCCAACGTTTGTCTTCATTATGCTTGTCTCCAATTTTTACTATTGTTCTATTTTTTCCAGCCAGTCAACAGTAGTAGCTGAAAAGAGAGAGGTCACTGATGAAGAACACGGCAGGCACAGAGAAAAGGAAAAGTATGCGGAGCTTTGCTGTATATCTGTCAGTTCATTCTACTCCTCTAGAATGTGGCGTTCTCAGGACTTGATGTCCTCCAGGCCTCCAGATGAAGGTAGTGCGCACCCTGAGAGCCAGCTGGACTCACCTCTTGTGTGTAACTGCACAGCCACAGCATCTGGGGGACTTGTCCTGCACTTCTGGAATCATCTTTCTTGGTCATGGTGGCTACTGCTGCATTGTCCTTCTGAGGTAGGTGAGATCGGGTGTTCACAGCCTCCCTTAAAAGGAAACAAGAGACTTGTCAGGTCGATGGAGAGAACAAGCTGTTCCACAGTGCACACACCATGTCCTAAGCTTGTGGTTAGAACATCCTGCAGCAAGGAGGTGGAAGAGCAGAAGGGAAAAGTCTCCAAATCTGTGCAAGCACAGAAAGCCCAAGGATTAGTGTCCTTGGGCTGACCTATGCTCATTATAATAATAGAAACACATCCCTGAGTGCGAAGTTAAGATGCTAATGAGACATGAGATGTATGTGCTAGAGTGTACAACCGCAGTGCACGCATGCCCAGGGGACCACAGACATGCTTAAAACAATACCCCTTCCCACCTCTTCATGAATAATCATGTAAGACTCCCATGAGGGAAAGGTAGTGTCTCTTTTTTTTTTTCTTTTTGTTTTTTTTTAAGAGACAGGGTCTCGCCATGTTGCCCAGGCTGGAGTGCAGTGGCTATTCACAGGTGCAATCCCACTACTGATCAGCATCGGGAGTTTTGATTTGCTCGTTTCGGACCTGGGCCGGTTCACCCCTCTGTAGGCAGCCTGGTGATCCCCTGCTCCAGGGAGCTCAACATATTGATGCCGAACTTAGTGCAGACACCCGATCCGCATAGCGCACTACAGCCCAGAACTCCTGGGCTCAAGTGATCCTACCACCTGAGCCTCCCGAGTAGCTGGGACTACTGGCATGCGCCACTGTGCCCAGCGGTACTGCCTCACTTTTGAGCAGGCTGCTCTGATCAGCTGTCAGAGTGTACTTTCATTTTGCAATAAACTCTCTTGCTTACTTTTACTTTGGGCTTCCTCTCAAATTCTTCTGTGTGGCAGAGTCAAGAGCTGGAACCAGCCCACTGGCAACACTTCCTCCCTTTTCCTTTCTTTCTGTATCTTGTTGCTAGGGATAACTTTGCCCCTGCCGGCAGCGTGCCCCTAGGAACTGATGGTACACTGTGGCTGGTGTCCTCCTCGGCTTGGCCTTGGGTCACTAAGTGCAGCCCATGGTAGGATGTTCTGGGAATGAGTGGCACTGCCTTGTGCAATGGTCCCCATGGGGGTGGCGCACAGGTGCCAGTATCTGTGGCATTTTCAAAACTCTTTAAAAATACTCAAGAATGTACAGAGGAGAGCAGTTCTAGGGCCTGACCTGTGTCCCCCACCTGCTCATCTGCATGGCCGTGCTCCTGACGCTGTCAGAAATGAAAAATGCTGCTGTCCCTTTGCAAAGCACTACTTAGTTTTTCTCCTCTTGAAGGTAGTGATACGATGCCCAGGTTGAGATGGACGCAGGAGTCAGCAACCCAAAGTAAAAGGAGAGACTTTCACAGAAATAAATACCCAAGCTTTTCAATGAGAATCAACAGGGCCTTCTACCCTCTGGCAACTGTGGGTTCCTCGTTGAGATGTTTCTAGTTCTCAGAGTGGTTTTTCCTTTATGCAGGTAGTTTATCAAAAAAAAAGGAAAAGCAGGAGAAGGTGTATGGGGAGCTGGGACCCTGGGCCTGTGCAGGTGAGGTACAAGGTGCTTCTGGCGAGGCTGCCACCATTTGGGGCACTGGCATGTTGGGGCATGGCAGGACCTGCCTTCCTGATGATTTCATCTGTCCCAGTTGCTCACTGGAAGTTGCAATGCCCAGAGTTTTGTTTTGATGGTAATTTTAAAAAGTATTATATTAAGCCAGGTGGTTCATGCCTATAATCACAACACTTTGGGAGGCCAAGGTGGGAGACTCATCTGAGGTCTAGAGTTTGAGACCAGCCTGACTAACTGTAGGGCTAAGGGCCTCACAGGGTTGTGCAGTGTCCGTTATGCTGTGCTGAGGAGCAGGATCTGAGAAATAAAGAGACAGGACACAGAAGTACAAAGAAAGCACAGCTGAACTCAGGGGGCTGAACTCAGCAGAGACAGACAAGGCCCCAAATGTCCAGAAGCGTGTGTATTTATTAGGTATAGGTTAGAGGGCAGGATGGTGAGTGAAGTCATCTTTAAGGTTAGTGACAGGGTCATGAGCAATAAACAAGAGGTCCACCCCCATTAGGTGACCTAGGCTAGGAGGTGGACAGTGCACAGCAAAGGGTCCATCCCCATTAGGTCACTGAGGCAAGGAGGTGGGCCATGTGCAGTAAGGGATCCACCCCCATTAGGTCACCAAGGCATGGAGGTGGGCTGTGCGTGGTGAAGAGGGTGCAGTGTGCAATATCTCTTATCTATGGGCATGCTACTTCAAGAATATCTATAGGGGGATGCTTTAAGTCAAACAGCAGTGACAGAGCTGTCAGGGTCTACCGCCACCTGCTGGGAGCTTCCAATGAATTCTAGAGGAGGATGCTTTTGAGCCAGCACAGTAACAAGAGCTGATAAAGTTCACAGTCACCAAGGCGTGATTGTCAGGAGGGGTTTGGAGCCCTGGGATGCTCGAGGGATTGCTGGTCTGAGGGCAGCCTTCCACAAGAACTGGAGCAAGGTCCTACAACTCCTTTGTCAGGATGAGTGGCCCTTGCACCAAGCCTGCCATATAGTGGGTATCTTTACGATACTGAACGCTGCTGCCTGGGCCATGGGTTCTTGTCCTGGTGTAACTGTTTTTCCCTTAAATCATGCTCTGTACCAGGTCTGCTGTAGACATTCCTCTGACTATAAGCTGTTTATTTCTTGATTCATCCTCTGTACCGTGTCTGCTCTAGGCATTCCTCCGATTATGAACTAAGATATAGTTATGTATATATATAGGGAAATAACTGACTGGTAAGATATTCTTTAGGCACTCATTCTATGAGCTAACATATGATTATATATAAAGGATTATATAAAAGGAAATAACTGAGTAGTAACACTATAAGCTGAGATATTCTTCAGGCACTAATTGTGCCAGGATTCTGCTTAGCTCTCCTTCCTCAGTGCTTATATGGGGGGTTATCCACAATTAACATGGAGAAATCCCATTTCCATTAAAAATACAAAATTAGCCGGGCATGGTAGTGCATACCTGTAATCCCAGCTACTCAGGAGGCTGAGGCAGAAGAATCACTTGACCCCAGGAGGCGGAGGTTACAGTGAGCTGAGATAGTGCCATTGCACTCCAGCCTGGGCGACAAGAGAAAAACAATGTCTCAATATACATATATTACCATATATATATTACACAATTTTATGCTTTTTGAAAATAGCTAATAAAGCTTTCTGGCTAAGTTGTTAGTAATGATAATCTCTCTAATGTGCTTAAAGGCGGCCAAAGCTGCAGGGTTCCCACCCTCACTGGGTACCTGGGCTTCCCTGCTTGTTCTGTTTTCAAGTGTCTTTCCCTGTTGGTTGCCCCATGAATGCTGACATCACGCCTTCTGGAGGAAACCACACTCTTCCTTGCCCATTGAGGGTTGGAAAACTGGATAATTAGGCTGGATGAAGAGAGGAGATATCATTTGCTCTGTGTGGGCACCATCGTCACCTGCACTTGAAAGCGAGGCTGAGGTGCAGAAGGCACAAAATGTGGCCACATCTCTCAGCTGGCAAGTGGTCCAGGGGCAATGTGAGCCTGAGTGGGCAACACTGTGACACAGGGCAGGGTGCATCGCAGTGTTGCCCACCGTGACTGCAGGGCTAAAAGGAACCAGGGCTGAGAGAAACCTGGAGACACGCTGGGGTGGGGCCAGACCAGGGCCTGGAGAGAACCGCCACTGCCCTCACAGGGCCTGGGGGAGACGGACCCAGGAGGGGGCACCTCCCCCTCTCCCCTAGCTTTCCTGAGCCTTAGCATTGTCACCCAGCCCACACTGGTATCCCCAGTGTCCACCAGGTACTTTTCATGTTTCTCCTCCTTAATCTTCTGAACCTCTCCATGAGGTCAGTGTTGGATTTGCATTTCTGTAGTTGAGGGAAGGATTCAAGCCTGGACAGTTCTTAGGAATGGGTCCACTGCCAGTGACTGGAGCCACACTTGAGCCCCAGTAGCTCAGACTTCTGAGACCAGAGTGTTCTGAGTTCTGAGTTGTTGGGCGGGCAGTGCCCTGTGCCAGCTGTAACTGCCCACTACAGGCTGCCAGCCAAGGCAGGCGACCAGAACAGGAGAGCATTGCTCAGAATCCAAGACATGAATTTCTTTCCCTGGGCCAGGCCAGGACTTAGACGAAGCTGACTGAGGAGCCAGGTGCTTCCTGGCAAGGAAATGTGTCCCACATCTGACGATCCAGAAGTCACAGCTGCTCAGTATTGAGTTTTGAGGGGTCGGGGATGGGGGCGGTTATGATTTGAAAAGCAGAATTCTTCTAAGAGGCTTGTTAAAATTTCTCATTCAGTAGGTCTGGGGCAGAACTTGAAAACCGCATTTCTAACAAGCTCC